TCAACAGGTGGCGGGGGGGGGGAGAGCATAATTTGGAGGTTATAGCTCTTGTCTTGACTTGCCCCATCATACTACAAGAAGTGTATTCTGTACATAACATACAAATAAAGCAACCCCCTTATTTTACCTGTTACTTATTATTTGGAGGATTTATCCAGTTTTCAATTTGTATAATTAAAAGCCATTTCAGAATGTGTGTGTGTAAGGGAAATGCAAGTCACAAGGACCTAACAGAATCAGTGAGATTGGCAGCTGTGTTCACTACTGCTTTAGTTTTGTGCCAACATTCCACGTATTCAAGTCCAAGTAAACTGATTCTAATTCAACAAAAGCAGACAGCGTAGCTCTGTGTATGCCTTAATGTTAGTCTTTTATTTCTTTCTGTCTTCAGAAAGTGGAGTACTGTATTTGATGAGTAGACACTGCCATGAGAGAGGATAGGCTTGGCTTGAACATTAAAAGAAGCTCATAAAAAAAAAGATTACCAAGACCAAATAATTTCTTGAAATCTTGAAGGAGTTCTGATTGTTCACTTTCTCTCTTATGCATCCCTCATTTGACTGACTTGGAAGACCATTGTGTGTTTAGTTCTATAAACATTTTTAAAGTTAAGACTTTACATCATTCCTCTGAATCATTGAATTTCAGCCTAAAACTGAAATTATGAATACAGATTCAGTTCTTTCTTAGCAAAGTGACTGTGAAGAGATAATGCTAGTTACTTGCTTGCATTTTCGATAGCTGACTTAACAGATCTCTCCTTTTTTCCTTGAACTGCTTTTTCCATCACCAGTGTTTTGACTGAAGATGTTAATTTTTTCTGATTGTGCAAATATATGCATTTTATGTGTGCATTGATAAAAACCATTCACAAATGTGGTCTGACTTGCTTATTACCTATTCCTCTCATTCAACAGCTGGGAAAGTAAAATGGTATGTTGTTTCCATTTTTCTGTTCATCTTGATAGTAGTTTTGAGTTAGCAGCATTCAATTATTTCTCTTTTCAAGAGCCCTGTCACCACGATCTATTGCTTTAAATGTGTGTGTTTTATTTCTCACTGCACTTGCTCAGAATCCTCTTATTCAGCTGCGCAGTAATTCTCAGTAATTCATGGTGTTCATTCAAAAGGTGTTAGAGTCTTACAACGCATTTTAAATATGGATTTGCTAAAACAATTTCTCTCTTTCTCTCTGCCAGCACGCCCTTTTTTACACTGAGCCATTCATGGGCAGTGCAGTGACCAAGGCTTGATGTGGAACTACAGTAGAGAACAGTAACTGAAATGGCATCTAGATCACTTGCAGCTTGTCAAGTATTCAATTCAGTGAATGCTGCCTTGGAAAGATTGCTGTTCAGCTTAGTGCAATAAGACAATTAGGCTGAGCTCTTGGAGGTTGATGGCAGATTTTTCACATCAGTGGAGTAAATCACAACTACTTTAGCCAGTTTACCTGGATGTAATCTGATGGGACATACATGACCATTTGAACCCATAGCAGCTGCACTTTCCCCATCTATTCATGCTAACTTATGACAGTATTAACTTGGACTGAGTTTGTTGGTTATTTGTGTTTTGAGTCTCAATCAAAACTACTCAGTTGTGACAGTTGGATACCAGCTCCTGGCCAGTGCTTAGTGTAATACATTTTGTTAACAGACAATTCAGTCCATTGCAACCCTGGTGGGGGGAAATGTGGCTGCTATGTGCTTAGATGGTAGATTCACTAGGCCTTCTTTGAGGACTGTTCTTTACCACCTCACTAAGTACCGACGCGGGTGGCGCTGTGAGTAAAACCTCAGCACCTAGGACTTGCCGATCGCATGGTCGGTGGTTCGAATCCCCGCGGCGGGGTGCGCTCCCGTTGTTCGGTCCCAGCGCCTGCCAACCTAGCAGTTCGAAAGCATCCCCGGGTGCAAGTAGATAAATAGGGACCGCTTACCAGCGGGAAGGTAAACAGCGTTTCCGTGTGCTGCGCTGGCTCGCCAGATATAGCTTGTCACGCTGGCCACGTGACCCGGAAGTGTCTGCGGACAGCGCTGGCTCCCGGCCTATAGAGTGAGATGAGCACACAACCCTAGAGTCTGTCAAGACTGGCCCGTACGGGCAGGGGTACCTTTACCAAGTACCGATGATGCTGCATTTAGGTGAACACAGTCCAGATTTCTGCAGGTCTCTGATTAATAATAATTATTATTATTATTTATACCCCACCCATCTGGCTGGGTTTTTTCCAGCCAGTTAATGTTCTATCTGCATGGTGCTGCAACATTCAACAACAATGTCATGCAGAGTTTGGGGTTCATCCAACTAGTGTTGCCAGCCAATCTCTGGTCAATTAGGGCAGAGGCAGGGGACCTGTGGCTCTCAGACATTGCTGAACCAACTCCCATTGTCCTAGCCAACATGGTTAATGGTTAGAACTGATGTGAGTTGCAGTCCAGTAATGTCAGGAGCGGAATAGGTTCCCCACCCCTGGTTTAGGATATCTGAAAAATGAAGTAAAACTAGATTCTTAAGTTCTACATTTTAAATAGCATTGGAAGAACAGCAACTATGAAAGCCCTTTATTTTATTTTTTAAGTGCTGTATCAGTCATCATAGTGCTGTATATGTGAAGTCATCAAAACTAAGCAAAAATGAATTTGCAGTGATTATCCAGTGATGGGCAGCAGTGAAATTTAATTTTTCATGTAGTTGAATTGTAATTACAAAACTACAAGAAGTAGTACAAATGACAAAGCTAATTACTTGCAGTTTAACTGCTAACACTAAAAATTATTTCATCTAGTTGAGGGGAGAATGCGTATTTGAAATCATCATCTTGTTGAAAACGCAAAGAAACACCAGGATGATTACTAAGAAGAAAATGGGTGTGCCTACAATTCTTTGCAAAGCATCCAGCAACCTTGTGCATTCCTCCAGAATCCAGATAGCTGCAAGGCGCATGATTAATGTGTAGCACTTCTAAGGGGGCTGGTTTTACTCTGAATATTGTAGCAGTTCTACCAGGCTTAGGCAGAGAGTGGTTGTACCACAAGGGTGGGAAGAACTGTGGAATTGGCTGTGTACGAGCCTAGTTTGACTACTTACAGGTAAGTGCTAGTATTCAATACTACTTTTAAAAGATGTTGGTGCCCAATAGTATATTTGACCACCCAGACTCAGGCTCATTTGGACTGATGTTAAAATTGTCTGGTCAGAAATTCTGTCACAGTTTTGACCCTTTGGGGATTAATAGAGCCCACAATAAAGTCAAAAGGGAAATGAGGCTGCTTGTACTCGAGCTGGCCCTCTTGTCTGAGGAGCCAATGCAAAAGGTCAATTACAACTGCAAAGAACAATTAATGGTAAGACAATATAAAAAGAATGGCAGGACCAAACTCAAAATTGCAGAGGAAATGAACTGGCAGTTAAGATCACAATGACAAAGCAGATGTCAAAAGCCTGAAAACTCACAGGCCCGAAATAAACTGTTAAAAAGTACCTAGAGGGCAGAAGATGCTAAATATCTGCCCAGCGACAACAAAAAGTGCCTGGTGACAAAAAAATTCCGCCTAACAAGAAGTCCAAGAACCCCTATCAAGCTAACTGCTACCAAAATTGCCAAACCCCCAAAATACCAAAAGAGTTAAAGGGAGCAAAAAGCCTTAAACAAACTGAAACCTCTAAATGGCCAGTTACACCCCCCAAAATATCCCACCCAAAACAGCTCCCCAGCCCAATTTGCTAAAAAGGCTGCAGGCGCACGGTGCCTTATAACTTTGCACCCGAGACAAACTGAAGGCACCCAGGGCCAGCTCGTCCATGAGGCACGGTAAGGTTGTGGCTTCAAGAAAGCAGGCTCCCGGGGTGGCACTGCTGCTGCCACATGCCACCAACTGCTGATCGCTGATGCACACCCCTGCTTTTCCACTGCCAGGTGCTGCTCCTCCACTGCATTGCTTCCTCGACGCATGAAGGTTGCTTGGGGAAGCCCTGGTGTGCTGACGTCAAGGGCGCCTAGCCATGGGTGGGTGGGTGTGCGGCTGTGGCAGTGGAGGAGCGGAGCATCAGGCAGCAGTAAATGCTTGGTAGTAGAGGACTTGCTGATCAGAAGGTTGGCGGTTCGAATCCCCGTGACGGGGTGAGCTCCCGTTGCTCTATCCCAGCTCCTGCCAACCTAGCAGTTCGAAAGCACGTCAAAGTGCAAGTAGATAAATAGATGCACCGGTGGGAAGGTAAACGGCGTTTCCATGTGCTGCTCTGGTTCGCCAGAAGCGACTTAGTCATGCTGGCCACATGACCCAGAAGCTGTACGCCGGCTCCCTCGGCGAATAAAACGAGATGAGCGCTGCAACCCCAGAGTTGGTCACGACTGGACCTAATGGTCAGGGGTTGTTTTACCTTTAGTGGCCGCCAGGTGGTGACGGGGTGGAGGGCAGCTCCAGTGCCTTTGCCTCTAGCAGCAGAATGTCTTGGGCCACCCCTGAAGGCACCCTCCGGTAATTCCCTCCAAAGCTGGACTGTGGCTGAGGGAAGTAACTCTCTAGCAACAGAAGTAGAGTGGGCAGTAAAATTGAAACACAGGCTAAATGCACTAGCCTCAAAAGGAGATAGATGTGTTTATTAGCATTTTTTAAAGGGTTTGCAAAGTGGTTGCACAGCTTCCACAACTTTCAATACCGTACTGTAGAGGAGAAGATGAAATGCATGAGAATACAGCCAACAAGCCGTGATTTTGTTGAGAGACTTCACTCATGGGGAAAACAATTTCCTGCATTCTAATTACTAGGACACCTTTGTATGAAACAGGTATAATGTGTCAGATGACAGCAGAGGGCGCTGGCTCAAATAGTGTCATAAAGTAAGTCACATAATTTTTTTTTTGTAAATTTTACCTTGTATTTTAACAGTTTTTCATTCCAACACAGCCTACACCCAAAGGTTTAGCAGCCCTTCAGGATAGATTTGCAATGTTGTTAGTACTGTATATGACTCATTTTGTTGCACATAATATTTACAGATAATTCATAAAACAGAAAGGTGGTACAGAAACATACTGCTGCCAGATGAGGTGCTTCCGTTTGGTGTGCCTGCAAGCTAGTCAATGCCTTATTTCAAGATACTCCATTCCAGTCTCCCTCTCTGTCATTTCACACCCCAGCTTCACACTGTTGCAAAGCCATCCTTGCAGGTTCGCTTAACATTTGGGGGCCTAAGGCTGAAAAAGGACGCCTTAATAAGTATGGTTATCATTGCAACTTAACACCAACATTATCTGCAAAATATTTTTTAAAAATCAAAGTACTGCCTTTGAAGTGAAAGTGCAACTGGTGCAGAATGATATGGTCAGAGTGTTAACAGCTGTTTATCAGAGTGTGTTATCCTGCTATTATTTGATATCTGTTAGTTCCTGGTTTGTTTCATAGTCCAAATTGAAGCGCTACATGTCAGTTTTTAAGCCCTAAACCAGGTGTGGCTAACCTGGACTGTAGCTTAGTGGTGATATGTTACCGAACTACAGCTCAGATAATCTGTGCTGGTTGAGTCACCTCTGGCCAACCACAGGCTGGCCACTGTGCCCTAAATGGTTTGGGACTAGGGGATTTATTAAATGGCTGCCTGCTTCTACATCACCCTGCCTCACTGCAGATACCTATAGAACTGTCCTGCTTCACATCTCAACACTGTCAGAAGTGCAGTTGTTAAGAATGCAGGACAAGGCGTTACTGGTTTTAGCCCCCAAGCTGTGGAAGTCCCTCCCTAAGGGAGCTAATCTCATTCTTCTTGAGGGTTTTGCTCCTGTTTTCTGCGGGTCTTTTGACATTTGTATTTTGTTTTCTTGAGGGATTTTCATCAACATTTTAATTGCCTCTTTTGTATGCCACTTTTAGGTAGTATAACAGCTTTATTATTTTATTTATTTCATAAAATTAATCCACCGCTTGATCCTATGCCAGGGGTAGGCAACCTGCGGCCTACGGGGGTCTTTTAACTGACCCACGAGCTGCCCCCGAACCAAGCTGCCCGCTTGGTGAGTCCCTGCCCGCTGCGCTAAACCGACGCAGCTTGGCATGGGGACTCGCTTCCGCAGCACCGGAAATCGCATCTGTGCAGACGCCGGAAATTGCGGCCCATGGAGGGATCTCTGCTGGAGTGAACTGGCCCAGGCGAGGTAAACCTTGCTGACCCCTGTCCTATGCCCTTTTAAATGTGTTTGTGGGAGGGTGCAGGGAGGGATTATTGTCTTGTTTTTATTATGTATTTTGTGCTTTTAATCTTGTATTTTTATGCTGTGAACCGCCCTGAGATCTATGAATGAAGGGCTGTATGCAAATTTAATAAACAGAAGAAGAAGAAGAAGCAGAAGCAGCTTATAAAAGCAACAAAATAAAATCAGTAAAAAAATTAACAAAAAACTACTGTTTAAAACATTCAAAATATGAAAGAATAAACTGAACATACTAAAACACTCATTCACGTTCTACACGCCTGCCTGATGTCATTTAATTTATATAAATAAGTAAATAAATACAAATGTAACCTACTGTAGCAGTTAACTCAAGGCTTCAATAGATTTATGAGCAGCAGTGCACTTTCTCTGTGACTGAAAGCTTTTTTTCGCTTACCAAGGCTACTGATTCCTGCTTTGCACGCACACAAGCCATTAGGTTTCCCTGTCAACACACATGAACCCTTGCACTGGCCAGCTGTGGAGATTAGCATTCTGAACAGAGTTGCCTGGCAGTGGTTGGTGCTATAATTTCATGCATCTTTAAAAAAATAAAAATTAGCAATTGAATAATTTTATTTGTAGCATATCAACATTTCTCTCCATTTCCAACAGGTTCATCGTACACAGGCACTCAAAGTCCATATTTGGCACATCACATAATTTAGGGAAGATGCTATTTGGTCATTTATTTAGAAGAAAACTTAAATCCTATGCCTTCCATCCCAAACAGGATGGAATAATGTATATAACCTGCTTTCTCCCTCCAAATACAGTGGTACCTCGGATTAAGTACTTAATTCTTTCTGGAGGTCTGTTCTTAAACTGAAACTGTTCTTAACCTGAAGCACCACTTTAGCTAATAGGGCCTCCCGCTGCTGCCGCACAGCGAATTCTGTTCTCATCCTGAAGCAAAGTTCTTAACCCGAGGTACTATTTCTGGGTTAGCGGAGTCTGTAACCTGAAGCGTATGTAACCCGAGGTACCACTGTAGAGATGAAAAGGTTTGCGCTGTTCACCAGATATCCCTGTTGCTGTTTTCATGTGATTCCCTGTAAGTGGGAATGATGGGGAGACAAAATAATGGATAGATTTCTGGAGATGCAGCCTTGTGTTTTGCTGAAATACTCTACTGGGTGCAAATTCTTCAGAAGCCATCCTTTGAAGCTGATTCTATGAGACTGGATTCTTTGGATTACATTCTGGAGCCCCAGACAGAATGAAATGTGTCTGAATATGCTTGAAAAATAAGTGCGGGGATGGGAAAGGAATCCTCAGTAATTGGCTTGGGAAGATAATGCAGAGCTATCACAGATAACAGGCTGTTTACATTATTTGAGATGTTTCTGAGCTCTTTAAAAATATTTTGGAATGTTGCAGCCACCAAATTACATTGTGCAGCACAAAGTACCCTATCAATTGGAGAAGAGATGGAATTTTTAAAACCTTCCCTCTCCACTTCAGCTTGTATGATTGATATCATTAGTGTTATTAGTATTCCTGACATAATTAATGGGACTCTGGTCTTTCCATTTCTATAATGTCAAATCTATTAAAGATAGAAATTGTAGGTTTACTATTATCTGGTACTGACCTATTGGGTCTAAAAATCTCATCAATTTAAAGCTGTTTAGTATAGGGGACAGGGAAATGGTTGGAATTGTTTTAGCGCTTTCTGGAGCCTATTTCGTTTAAGTGTCAATTAACAGAATATATTCACATATAAATTCACATATAAATATATATATATAGGTACAAATAATCAAGTGCCATATCTATAAAAATTAAATTTAAAACTAACAAATTGTTCAGGAATAAATGCATTAAGTCTGTTAACTTCAGCTTAGGTCTATCCATCAGAGGAGAAACAATTAGTAATAAATGCAAAAGACAAGGCTATATGACCTGACCATATGAAAGGAGTGGTTTTGCCTGTATGGAGCAGGCAAGTTTGGGTTTAAGTCCTAGTCTTCAGAAGACTGCTTAGTGGTTCAAAAGTCCCATAGAAAACATCAGGGGCTCAAAGCTAGAATAAACAGATGTTCTTTCTTCTTCCAAACTTCTTGAAGTTTCCTTTCACCCCACAGATTGAATTTATTAAGTGTCAGCGCTTTCTATTAACATCTTCCTGTCCCAGGAATCAGTTAGGCTCAGGATGTCAACTCACTCTTTAGAGCAGCAACCACAATCCTTGGAACTCAGTTCGATATCTTCAACTGATTACCAGCTACCAGGGAATAGGGAGTGGTTCCAATTGTCCTATTTTGGGTCCTAATCCCACTGGGGACTCAGCTAAGGTAAAGGTACCCCTGCCCGTACGGGCCAGTCTTGACAGACTCTAGGGTTGTGCGCTCATCTCACTCTATAGGCCGGGACCCAGCGTTGTCCGCAGACACTTCCGGGTCACGTGGCCAGCGTGACAAGCTGCATCTGGCGAGCCAGCGCAGCACACGGAACGCCGTTTACCTTCCCGCTGGTAAGCGGTCCCTATTTATCTACTTGCACCCGGGGGTGCTTTCGAACTGCTAGGTTGGCAGGCACTGGGACCGAGCAACGGGAGCGCACCCCGCCGCAGGGATTCGAACCGCCGACCTTTCGATCGGCAAGTCCTAGGCGCTGAGGCTTTAACCCACAGCGCCACCCGCGTCCCGGGGACTCAGCTATACAGCTGCAAATACAGTAAAACGTTTTGAATGTGTTGCAAAGTGCAATATACAATTGTGACACTAGATGGCGACTGTGAGCTATAGCAAATTCAAAGCATTTTTCAAAACGATTGTTTAAAAAGCATTTTCACAACGATTTTAACATGTGTGTTCTTCCTTTTCGACCAGACCACAGATCCACACATCAGTCTGGAGCTCTGACCACCTGCTCACCACCTCCTCCACAGGTCTCAGCAAGTAAGTTCTCAATAGTTATAAGTCAAAGGAGTAAATACTTTGTGAAGCTTAGATTGTAAACATTCCAGGGAGTGGTGACAACTCTTTTCTCTGGGGCTTTTTAAGTTCATTGGCCAGAGAGTAGAAGAAAGGGTGGGGGGAGAAGAAACCAAACAGCTCCACAGCTTTTAAAATAAAATAAAGCATAAGGCACAGGCCACTAAAATATATAATTGTTTAAAAGAAGAGGGCGACTCCTACCATAGGTGTGGGCTCGTGGCAGCTAAAACAGATCAAAGTACACCTGTTAATTGAATCCTCAAAGGAGAAAGGGGGGCACTGGATAAAATGTAGCTGCTGCTTACTGCAGCCCAGCAAACTCAGGCATTTGAAAACAAAACTTTTGAACTACTAATAAAAACTAAGATAAGCTGTGGAGCTGCCTCTAACAGGGTGGTGACCCAGCCCTCCTGGAAGTTTCAGTGTTGCCAAATATATTCATTTTTATGTTTATGTTATGTTATGTTATGTACACACACACACTCCTCATAGTGGGGTAGGAGAGCTGGAATTTTTTTTTACATCTGGCAACCCTTTGGTTTCAGATCATATATGGGTAGATGAGCCTAAAAAGCATGGTACACAAATTTTCACAGCCCTCTTAGCAGCTATGGTGCCTCATTTACCAAAAGTAATGTATCTACCATTAACTCTGGAAGTGTATACACGAATCTGACCAAACTAAGCCTCCTAGAGCAAAATAAATATCAGAGGCTTACACTTCCAGAGTTAATGCAAAGTACATTACTTATGGTAAATGGGCCATCATAGCTGCTAGAGGGCCATGAAAATTTGTGTCCCGGGCTTTTTCGACTCGTCTACCCATATATGATCAGAAACCAAAGGGACGCATTGGTTGCCAGATGTGAATTCCCCCCCCCCCAGCTCTCCTACCCCACTATTAAGCTTTTTCCAGGCGATGCTAAATAGTTATTACAGAGAGGAGGAAACTGCACACTACAGTGGTGCCTCGCAAGACGAAATTAATCCGTTCCGCAAGTCTCTTCGTCTTGCGGTTTTTTCGTCTTGCGAAGCACGGCTATTAGCGGCTTAGTGGCTATTAACGGCTATTAACGGCTTAGCGGCTTTAAGAAAAAGGAAACAAACTCGCAAGAACTCACAAGACGTTTCGTCTTGCGAAGCAAGCCCATAGGGAAATTCGTCTTGCAGAACGACTCAAAAAACGGAAAACCCTTTCGTCTAGCGAGTTTTTCGTCTTGCGAGGCATTCGTCTTGCGGGGCACCACTGTACAGTAAGCAAACGCATGTAACACAATCCCAATGTCTGCTTCTACTACAGTAAATTGGGTTCAGGAAGAGGCGATTTGGAGCAGAGTAAGGGACGCAGGTGGCGCTGTGGGTAAAACCTCAGCGCCTAGGACTTGCCGATCGTCAGGTCGGCGGTTCGAATCCCCGTGGCGGGGTGCGCTCCCGTTGCTCGGTCCCAGCGCCTGCCAACCTAGCAGTTCGAAAGCACCCTCGGGTGCAAGTAGATAAATAGGGACCGCTTACTAGCGGGAAGGTAAACGGCGTTTCCGTGTGCTGCGCTGGCTCGCCAGATGCAGCTTGTCACGCTGGCCACGTGACCCGGAAGTGTCTGCGGACAGCGTTGGCTCCCGGCCTATAGAGTCAGATGAGTGCACAACCCTAGAGTCTGTCAAGACTGGCCCGTACGGGCAGGGGTACCTTTACCTTTACCTTTAATCAGGCAAGTGGGTGTTCCAGTGCTTAATGCCCCCTTCTGTTTCCATAGAAGCTATAGCTGGCACCAGGAAGTATAAACCGTTGGGGCAATCCTATGGCAAGATCAGGGCCTGCCCAATATATTTGAAAGTAGAACACATGGCCACCCTACCAGTTCAACATGAAGATGAGGATTTCTTGTGTGGAGGGAGATGGTTCCTAGAGACTCTGGAGATCCCAGCTGCGTGGTGCCTAGCTCAGACGCCACTGATTCAATGGGATCTGGCTCCACAACAATGAGGCCTGTTGCTCTACCACCAGTGTCACTGGCCTGCTGGATCTGGCCCCATTCATCAAAGTGAGAGCCCAAACAGCTGCTCATGGTGCAGGTCCTGACAATTTTAAAGAAAACATGGAAATGTGAATCCTGTAAAGTCAGAAAGCAAGTACTGTGCAAACTTCTTGTTTAAAGTGTTGTCTCTGGCTAGCTATGACTAGATTCTTCTCATGTTGGAATGAGAACTATTTTGCACCTTGATACTCATTCCGGATGCAGCTTAATCTTGAGTAAAGAAAATAATGCCTTACAGACCTGCCTTGGAAAGGTTATGGAATTTGGAACTGTGCAAAAGAATCCACCAGGGTTTTTAACTGAGTGATTACAATTGATGAGAACTAACAAGGAACAGAGTTGAAATTCAACAAAATATATAAATAACTCCTCCCCTTACAGAAAGTCCAGGTGGAACTACAAGGAAACAGAGCATTCAAAATCTCAAAAGGTGCCTCTGACTGCAGAGGTGAGGAAAACCAGTGCTTGGAATGAACCAATTTGGTTTAACAAAGTTCACTGAATTAGTTAAAAAATCTGAACTGCTACTGAACATGTAGTTCCCATAATTGCCAGGTGAACCAAACATAAGTTTGCTTTGGGTAGAACTTTGTACAATATCTAGTTCATATTCACATTCATTCTCTTACATGTTTTTTTTTTTTAAAAAAAACGTTTTAGAGTTTAGATTCTTTGGACCTTTAAGCTCAAAGATCATTATTGTTGGGGAAAATGTATTAAACCATTCACATTCTACTGTGTATGAGTTTTGATATTTTATTAGTCTTAAGTATACTTAAGCACAGCAGCTTGGTAACATTCTGAATGCTGAAAAGAAAGAAAGAAAGAAAGAAAGAAAGAAAGAAAGAAAGAAAGAATGAAAGAAAGAAAGAAAGAGAAAGAAAGAGAGAGAGAGAAAGAAAGAAAGAAAGAAAGAAAGAAAGAAAGAAAGAGAAAGAAAGAAAGAAAGAAAGAAAGAAAGAAAGAAAGAAAGAAAGAAAGAAAGAAAGAAAGAAAGAATTGCTGGACTCGAACTGTGAACTGAATGTGAGCTGAATTGGTTTGTTTTGTAAAGGGATGAGCAACTTGAGTAAGTTCTGATTGGGACATATCAAAGTACTTTTTAAAACAAACTTTGCAAGTTCTGAAGAAAGCAAAGTTACATACCGACGGGAAAATATTTGACTGCAAGTCTCTGCTAGCCATTGCTGGCTTCAGGAAGTATATTCCTCCTGAGGAAGGGACAACTAATACAGCTGTATGAATGCACCAAATCCTCACACAACAGAAAGGCATCCATGAGGGAGCAGCTGAGGGCTGCACACACCAAGTGAGCAACAAAGGCGACAACCCCAAACCCCCAGATCAGATGGTGAGGAAAGGTCCTAAAACATTCTTGAGGAGTTACTTAGGGGCAGAATCTTATCTTATATTGGTTAAACAGGAATTTTATATAGACATTCCTTTCTAGCTTAATCACCACCTCCCTGTATGTGTTCATGCAAAAGTAGTAAGTAGTAAGCGTAAGCTTACTCTCTCTCCTCATTTGAGAGAGAGTACAAAATATATAAAGTCGTAGCCCAGGGCAGTTTCCCATTGTTTGTGCCTTCAGGGTTGCCTAAAGAGCAATAATTTCACTAGCATTCAGCTACATTTTCATCTTAAAGCAGGCAGCCTAATGGGGATAGGTTTGCCAACTAATGAGAAAAAAATGCCCTGACCTTCCATTTTGACGGGTGTGGAGCCTTTGGCCCTCCAAATGTTGCTGGACTACAACTCCCATCAGCCCTAGCAGCATGGCCATTGACCAGGGATGATGGGAGTGTAGTTCAGCAACATCTGCAGGGCCAAAGGCTCCCTGGCCTTGTCTTATGACTTAAAAAAAGAAGCCATGTCTCGTCTAGCAAATGCCATAATTTTTTGCTGAAATGGGCATCCACCTCATTTAGGCTGCAGTCTTAACTCCAGTAACCTGGGAGTAAACCTCATTGAATTCAATGAGAACTTCTTTCTGAGTAGACCTGGTTACAATTCTGTTTGTTGCCTCCACCTAAAAGATAAAAATAAGTGTAGGAGGAGATGAGATGAGATCCAGGTTCTCACTTTATCCCTCTTAAACATAATGCTATTTGCCTTAGATGTGGGCAACTCATAATAAGTAAACTTTCAATGTCGATTTTTAACACACACTTCTTTTGAGATAGAATACCTTTCCTCCTTTAAAAAAAAATGATTTGTCTTCTATGCAAGGGCAAAGAGACTATGCAATCTCCTGCTCCATTTTCTCTAAAATCCATTTATTTGTTCAAACTATTATTCCATCTATTGGTTTGATAACATGGGTTTGAAGTCCAGTAAGAACAAATACCATTTTGGTATTACTTAGCACTTATATCTTGTTTTTCAGCATTCAAAGTGTTTCAGATACATTATCTTGAGATTATCCTTACAACAACCCTGTAAAGGTGATTGATTTGAACAAAGGGAAAAGCTTCAGAAGTAATCAGATTTCAGCTTTGCTCTGTAAATGAAATTAGAACCAGGAAGATTTGTTGCTCATATTTTATGTCTACAGTATAGTTAATTGCTTTTGTATATGTGTCGGTATGCAGAGGGCTGCGGCTAACAGCTATAGATCTTTCCTTTATCTAATAAGCTTAGATGTTTGAAGATTGCAGCTTTACACATCCTGTAAAATACACATATTTTCTTTGCTGCAGTTGTGACACTCTGCATTTGCACAGGTACAATAGCAGTGATGTTTATAGCTATGTGCCCTGAAGCAGTGTCCCACAGGCACTCTGTGCTGAGGGTCAGCAGCCTATGTGCCATGCTGATCCCAGGGGTGTTCTCAGTCCCAGCAGCACAGCTGGTGGCTCCTATACACCAGCTAGCTACACGGGTGGTCCCTACATGTTGGCAACAATGGTTTTCCTTGCTTTCGCATCCTCCTCCTGTCCAGGATCACAGCAACTTCCTGGCATGACCCACGTACACCTCTGCTGTTCAGGCAATACTCTCTTTGCTTCCCTCCGCCACTCTCCCTTTCCTGTACAACCTTCATGTCAAGCAAGCACCCACCCTGGTAAGTTACTCTCTTCTTATATAGCCCTTAGTTGATGGGGGCAGAGACTCACCACCTGAGTTTTGACTCCATTGGTTCCAGGTGTTGACTCTTAATTGGTTTCAGGTGGTGAGTCATGTGCTCTCAATCCTGCACTCCTTTGTACCAGCCATGGCAGTTGTTCTGCCCTCCTAATCCTCCTCCTGACTCTCTGAGAGTTGGGATAGCAAATAGTCATGTTCCTTCAGGGTTCTAGTTCCCTCTGTGCTGGAAGGCTGTTTGATCTCTTCTTCCCTGTATTCCTGGTGTTCTGTGCTGTCTTCCTGCTCTTCCAATGGTCCCTCTTCCACCAGCTCCTATGATGTCCCACAGTGGTGTTGAGATCTCCTGAACTAAGTCCCAAGGACCTCCAGTAGCTGCTGGTGGCCTCCTCCGGTCTGTCCTTGACCTGGCGCCCTCACCACCCCACAACAAGTATTTAATTATTTGGGAGTCATCCACTTAAGTGTACAAGGGTGTTTGTTCTTGTATAAACGGAGCCAGGTGGTGCATTCTTAACAATTGTTCACAAGGACTTACTAGGCGGCCTTAGGCATGAGTATTTCTCTCTTTCACATCTGCACTATGGGACTAATATTTTAGTCTTTTCTGCTTCAGAGCCATCTTTCTTTCACGTGCCTTCTGAGAAAATATGAATTGGTTTGGGTTACGCCATGCTTGGCATACAGAGGGGCTGTTGTTGTAGATGCAGACAAGGAGGCTTCCTGATTCTCAAGTCAGGTAAAGTTTGAACTATTTCTCCTTTGAGAACTTGTTTACCAAATTTTGAAGTGACTTACGCAATACGCAATACCATTAAAAGCGGGTGGGGTTGGGGCTGTAAAACTATTAAGTCTCCAGAGCCTAAAATCCCCTAATTACAATGCTGCTCCAATATGGAGGACTCTCAGTAAGGAAGCTTGTGTTTGAGCCACACCTTGGATAATGCAATTACTTGTAACAGCAAAGTATATCAGGCAAGTCCAATCTGTGCCTTGTGCAATTTCCTCTTTCTGTCTCTGAGAGTACCAAATGGGAAGACCTTTGCAAGAATATTCAAGCAGGCTGTAACTTTCACAACAGGCTTGGTGATTCAGCAATGGCATTTTTGCACAAGCTTTGGCTTGACTGATTGCTGTGGTTCCTACACGACATTCCATAGAGCAGAAATGAATTTGTTTCACCGGGTCAGTTTAGCTGCTGTCATGCCTAGCCCTGACCTGGTACCAAACACTGACACGTCAGAGGCCAAACTGGACACCCCACAGGTTTGAGTGCTGAGAATCCCCTTGAGGGGCCTTCCGACTGAAGAACCCATGAAGCTGTCAGAGGAAGTGTTGGATCCACCCTTCAGTTCTGGAGAACGCTGGTGCCAAAAGGCCTGGGCCTGAAGAGCAATATCATAGCATGCATTGATAGGCTCAGAGTTCTTGCATGGCTCATGAGTAAGGAATCCCTGGAACTCCTTCACTACCAGTAACTGGGGCTAGGGTGTGGTCTAGGAAACCAGAGAGGTCTCTCTCTTCAGCTGCCTTGTTGCTGCCAACAGGACTGGTTCCTGGTACTTTGGCACCTTGTCCCCAATTCCCCCTCCTGGCTGTGTTGTACAGTCAAACCATGATTGTCGAATGGCTCAATTTTTGAACATTTCAGCTCTTGAATGCTGAAAACCCAGAAGTGAATGCTCCAGTTCTGTAATGCTTTTCGGAAACTGAACATCCGACGTGGCTTCCATTTGAGTGCATGAAGCTCTTGCAACCAGTCAGAAGCCATGCCTCAGTTGTCAAACATTTTAGAAGCCGGACAGGCTTCCGGAACATATTCGTTAGACAACCGAGGTTTGACTGTACTTTGTTTGAGTATCAGTGGATTGTAAAAGTAATTACAGTGGTACCTCGGTTTAAGAACAGTCCTGTTCATGAATGATTCGGTTTACAAACTCCGCAAAACTGCAAGTAGTTGTCAGGAAAAAGCAGCAATGCAAAAGCAAGCTGCAGGTGTCTGGAATGCAAAACACAATGTTGGATGTCTGGGACTGTACTCTTGGAAAAAGGGGGCAGTCTATTCAGTGTTCTGAGCACCGGATGTTAGCTCAGAGTGTCATCTGACCTGTACTGGAAGTACATGGGTGGAGTCTGTGTGGTCTTCTGCTTGAGACTGGAGGGTACAGACATATTTCTCTGTACAGCTAGAGTGACAGAAATAAAAGGATGTAAATAGATTTCTGTCTGTCTCTTTTCTCCTCCCTGAGGGAAGCAGGGAGGAGGGAGGAGTGTGTGTGTCCCTCGCACGTTGAGTGGGATCGCCGATTTGTGACCTTGCCTGTATCCTGCCGGGGAAGCAGACGGGAAGGTCATCAAGGATCTCGAGCCGAATGCCTGGTGTGAGGCCAGTTCCCTCTGACTGATGGCTGAGAATCCTGACAGTAGTGTCCTGGTTTGCGAACTTTACCTTGGTATAAGAACGGAATCTGAATGGTGGAAGGGCACCAGCGGAGGGAGGCCTCATTAGGGAAAGCGTGCCTCGGTTTAAGAATGGTTTCGGTTTAAGAACGGACTTCCGGAACGGATTAAGTTTGTAAACCGAGGTACCACTGTAATTAATTTGACCCTGCACTATTGACCTTGTACTGTTGTCTGACCTAGTCTCCACATCAGTTTGTATCATCCACACCATACCTTTAAAGCATTCTTATACCATGCTAACTTGCATGAAGAATCTTGTGAATTGTAGTTGCTAAGGATACTGGTAATTGTAGCTCTGCAAGGTCAGCATCCTTAACAAATTACAGTTTCCAGGATTCTTCCGGGGACCCTGTTGCTGTTAAACTGATTCCCTGTGCTTGACCTGGGCTTGTTGAGGTTACACTGCCCTTTGAACCCTGCCAGCCTGGATAAGTGTTCACATAATGCTGTTGGTATCAAAATGACAGCCCATATTTCCCGATTTAATCTGGATCTGTCTTTTCCAGGGAGTAATTTCGTAAGTTGAAAGAACCTGTTGACCTAAAACCAGTTTGTGCTGGCTGAACAACCCATTTGCAATATTAAACCTTCATCTGGAAACAACTCTTTTCTGAAGAAAAACTGCTTGGGGATGATCCCATTTTTAGCAGAGAAACAGCAGGTGGGAAGTGTTGCATTATAAGCCTTCCCCATCACTAATTTTCCTGCTGTGAATTGCTTCCCTCCAGCTGCTTCCCTCCCATGGTATTCCTAATGCAAGTGGACATGTACTTAGAACCATGCATCTCATGGGATGCATCAGCCTGGAACGTTACCCAGTTTTGCATCTACATACTATGAAAAGCTTCACTGGCTGAATTTCTGCTTAGCACATTTCAACAAAGGTGGGGTTGAGGAATTCCACTGGGAATTCTAGTGGAGCATGAAAACAACCAGTCTCAGGGGAGCACCAAAAGTAAGGCAAAGAGAAGAAGCCTCATTAGAAATTACCGAGAAACTTCTGAACTCCCAAGACAGCAATCTGGAACTTCCATCAAAATGGATTCTCTGGGAGTGTTTGGCAGCAGATCCTACTGAGGATCCTACTCTCATTTCCCCTGAGGGAAATTTTCCCCTGAGGATCCTACTCTCATTTCCCCTGATCCTACAGCAGATCCTACTCTCATTTCCCCCAGTGTGGTACTAATGCAGCATCTTAAAATATTGCCACCTTGCCTAGATAGCATAGCTGTTTTCTCAACTGCTGTATTCCACTTCTGCACTCCTTCTTCCAGAGAGCTGCTTTTCAGGAAATGAGCTCCACCTCCTGCTCTGCGTGCTTTTGTCCAACCTCCTTCTCCCCTACCTGGACTCTGCCCTTCTTTTTTCACTTGTAAACTGGCACTCATTACACAGACAAGCAGGTGCTTGTTCTCAGATGCTACCTTGGTCACCTTCCCATCTGCTGCTTGCTCAAGTCCACATTCAAAGTTCTTCTGTTTTAGGCTTTGAGACCATCTGGCTGGAAAACCCTGGAATGACCTGACTTGCTCCCACCTGAAGATGGTTGCTTCAGTCCCACCCTGCCGTGACAGTGAGTAGCAGAAGCAATTTTGGGAATAGTCCAGAACACTTGTCATTACCTGATCATGCCAAAAGTCATTTGGACTTTCAAAATGTCATGAAATGGCATCCCCTGAATCTGTCAGGTATTATGTGGGTTGAGGTTTTTCATTTTGCTACTCTAAAGCTGATACCTGTTGTGGGTTCTGTTTCCTGTGGGCTGTTTTTGTAAGCTTGCCAGACTCATTACATCTCGGGCGCCTCTGACTTTTTAATGTCTCCACTTCTCATGTTCTCAGAAGTACACACTGTACATTTAAAGCACACACACCCAGAAAGAGTTTTCTGGGAACTGCACTTTAGCTCAACATAGCTATAATTCCCAGCATCCTTAACAAATTTAAGCTTCCAAGATTCTTTGGAGGAATGTGCTTTTAATGTATGGTGCATGTGCAGTAATATGTTGGGGAAGAGAATTAACAGAAAACTGGTTGTGCTGTCTAATTGCAATATTGTTGAGCTCTCCTGATAAATTTTTTTTAAGGATATGCTTCACGGTTTCCAAATTGTGAGGTTAGCAATTCTGCTGCCCTTGAAAGATTCAGGTCTACAACTTAAATCGCACAGGAGAGTTTTTTGAAGTCTAATAACATCAAGGCAAGAATTATATATGTATATTTATTATACTCACTCCACTTCTCCAAGAAGTGAGATGTTCCAGGGCTAGGACATGACCTAGTTTTATTTACATTTTGAAGGAGATCGCTTGGAAGGAGCCTTATTGGCACTTCATAATATTCACATCCATTTACAAATCTGCAGATTCATCATAGGTGAAGGCACAGCTTAAATCAGGGGTAGGCAACCTAAGGCCCGGGGGTCGGATGCGGCCCAATCGCCTTCTCAATCTGGCCTGCGGACAGTCTGGGTATCAGCGTGTTTTTACATGAGTAGAATGTGTGCTTTTATTTAAAATGCATCTCTGGGTTATTTGTGGGGCATAGGAATTTGTTCATGTCCCCACCCCCACCCAAATATAGTCTGGCCCACCACATGGTCTGAGGGACGGTGGACCGGCCCTCAGCTGAAAGATTGCTGTCCCCTGGCTTAAACATTTCAGCAGACATCCATGGCCAACTGCTTCTACACTGGACATAGCTGTCAAGTGCCCCTTATTTGAAGGGACAGTCCCTTATTCCAGCGCCATGTCCCGCTGCTGTCCCTTATTGATAGATGTCCCTTAAATGATGTCCCTTAAATTTCAAAGGAAACAGCTCCTCTCCCTCCTTCCCTGCCAGCCAGGGAGGAGGGAGGCTCCAACTGTGTTGCTTGGCTGTGTTGCTCACCCAATAAGAAGTCTAAGAACGACTGGGGGGTGGAGCTTGCATGCCTTGTGTGTGGCTAGTTAATGCAAGCTGAGGGGTTTTTTGAATGCTGGATGCCATTTTGTTGCACATGCTGCTGCAAACTTTGCAGTGCAAAGCCAGGCCGGGGAGCCATCTTAAGCTGAGGCTGCGTAGGCCTTGTGGTGCATGTGATTCAGATTCTATTCAGTTGAACCTCTGGTTACAAAGTTGGTTAGACAGTGTTCTCGAAGCTACCAGCATGAGTTTGACCAGACTGCAGGAGGACAGGAAGACTGGAGTGCCTGGAACAGGTGAGGCTGCTGGTCCCTTATTTTGGCTGCTGGTCCCTTATTTTCAAGTCTGTGAGTTGACAGCTATGCACTGGAGCTCTAGAGAAAGCACTGTAAGATGCTCACAGACACTGAATTCAGCTCTGTGTGTCTGTGCCTTTCTTAGTCTCTCTTAACTTCCAGCCTGCTTCCTTCACAAACTCCTAGGGTGTGTTCACATTACCCCACTTAGAGCACAGTGAACACCCCAGTGTGTTTCACAGTTCTTCCCCACCGCCAGCTGTTCAAATCAGCCCAACTTCCTCAAACTGCAGTATTTTGTAACAAAGTAAAGGATGCATATGCACTTTGGATAAATTTCCTGTGAACCCAGATTAAAAATTCAGCACTTAAAACACAGTGAATGCACAGTAAATGGACGTGTGAACACAGCCTTAGATGACATATTCCTTAGCTAAAAGTGGGGAGCATGTCCCTGTGCCAAAATAGCCCTCTCCTTCTAAAAGAGTCTCAGGGATGGGCAACCTGTGACCCTGCATTACAGAGTCTAGATGACCCCTGGGGTCCCTTCCATCTCTACAATTCTATGATCCCTAAACACTGGCCACACTGGCTGAGGCTGATGAAATCTGTAATCCAACAACATCTGGCAGACCTTGGTTCCCTACGCCGCACTATTTGCAAGCCATTGTCAACAGTTTACCTGTAATTCCCCACAAAGGAGATACTTGGCAAATTTGCCAGGACTATTAAGACACCCTTCAGCTCCATTAACCTTCTGCTAGCCAACCCTTCAATTTTAGAAACTTACAGAACAATGGCTGTGACGCAGCAACATCTTGGCAAGCTACATAAAAATACAATTGTATATAAAGCACGCTCTTGTGGGTGCTACTGGGACATTTCCTTAATTTCTTTCTGGGTTATTTTGGACCATTCTGGTATGTGGTAACAGGAAATGTTAATGAACTGAAGTAGGTTTTGGCAGGAGATATGGGGCAAAATGAAATAGGGCAGTGCTTATGTCAACTCTCTAAACTCCGATTTCAGCATGACAGGCTTCGTTTGTAGTTTGGTGTGCATGGTTAGATCAAGAGTGTAAAACTATGGTAAGGTTTATCAAGCTGGGCAGAAATATGACCCCAGAAATCTGATAATCTAATAATAAAGAAACACACTGGTTTAATTTATAAACATAAAGAAGAGTTATCACAAATGGTATGTGCGTATGCGGTTGCTCTTTGAGAACATGCCAACACCATTGATAAGCTCCACTTGCTAAAGAGGGTTGCCATATGTCCTCTCTTTCCAGGACATGTCCTCTTTTTCATGGATAGAGTCGTCATAGCGATCCATAGTTAAAAACAGAAGTCGGCAAATGTGTCCTCTTTTTCGCTCCTCAAAATACGGCAACAGTAGAATGCTAATTTGTCAAAACTGCAGACTTTCCATACTAACCTCTAGATTTATGGCTTTCTAAGATGTGGGGAACAGCATATACCGTCAATATTACTTCTCTAATCAAGTAAGAGAAGGCAGATTGAGAGATAAGTTTGAAGAAAAACTGAATTTGCTTAACTCGGATGTTAACATTAACATCCGAGCAGCCACAGACATCAAGGGAGTGGAAATAAAAGGCAGAACCTATAAATTAGGGCTCTTTGCAGATGACCTAATGGTCACAACACCAGATCCCATAAGCACTGCAACCTCCCTAATCAGAGAACTCAACGCATTTGCAATGGTGTCGGGCCTACAGGTAAATTTCACAAAGTCAGAAGCTATGTGCTTCAACACCCCTCCTCACACCCAAAAAGAACTCACGAAGGTCACCAAAATAAAACTTTGCCACACCAAGTTCAGATACCTAGGGGTACAAATAACCAGAAACCTCAATAAATTATACCTCCACAACTACAAGCCCCTGTGGCGACAAATTAACAAAGACCTAAAGAGATGGAATAACATGAACCTCACTCTCTCAGACAAAATAGCCATGATCAAAATGACCACACTCCCAAAACTAACCTACCTATTCCAAACCCTCCCAATCTGGATCCCCTCAACCCAACTTCACAGTTGGCAGAGAAAACTACACTCTTTCATCTTCTCACATAAAAAACCAAGAATAAGCCCCAAATACCTGCACCTCCCCACCTCAGAAGGAGGATGGGGAATCCCCAACATAGAAGCATATTACACTGCCAACCAAATACGCCATATAATCCCATATATACTAGAAGATGAGACAAAACAATGGGTACACCTAGAGAGGGACACAATTGAAAACACCTGCACCACAACATACCCACTCCTCCCAGACAAACTAAGGAAAATTCCCACAACACTTAACAGGTACACACAGACCATGCTCAAAGCATGGAAAACACAAATAGGCAAACTATCCCCAACCCCATCCCCACTAATCCCCCTGGCGTACCACCCATTATTCCACCATGCAGCACAAAACCTCCAGATAAAAACCTGGCGAACCAAAGGCTTATATCGCCTAATAGACTTCTATAAAAACAACAAACCCTTGTCAACACAAGAAATACAAGACAAACTAGAAGACACCCAAATGCCCTGGTTAACACAACACCAACTACATGCCCTCTTAAACAATCCAACAGTAAAATCAGCAGCAACTAGGCCCCTGACAACCTTCGAAAACCTCCTCCTAACAACAAAGGGAAACGGTAAAGGGATGGTATCCGCAATATACAAAATACTGCTCCAAAATCCCGCAAATCCGCTAGACGCAATCAAAAAACAATGGGAGAATGACATAGGCTATGAGATTAACCCCACTCAATGGACCAGAATGTGGTCTAAACCCCCCTTTAAATCCATATCAACGAAAAGAAAAGAACTCACACTGAAACTCACCTACAGGTGGTACCTAACACCAAGGAAACTAGCGCTAATACACCCAGGAACCTCACCAAAATGCTGGAGAGGGTGCACCTCCACAGGCACATACTTCCACATGTGGTGGGAGTGTCCCAAAATCCAACTATTCTGGACAACAGCCATACAAGAAATTTGTAAAATAACTAAGCAAGTAATAGACACCACCCCAGAATTGGCCCTACTAAACATCTTCCAAGACAACAATGCCCATTTACACCACAAAGAACTCATAACCCACCTGCTCTCAGCAGCCAGAAACACCATAACCAGACACTGGAGAGACCTGTCAGGAGTAAGCATGGACCAATGGTATCAAATAGTATGGGAAACAGCCCTACTAGAAAAATTAACTAATAAACTGAAACTGACACGGGGACAAACAGAAGAAGATGCCTTCACCCCGGTATGGCTCCCCTTTATCACACACACAGCCCAACAGGACAATGACAATAATCCACCAACAGCATACAAATCAATATGGC